CAAGGTCACTAAAATGATGCTGAATTCCATGTAGGGCAAGTTCGGAGAGCGGACCAACAAGACCTAGGCAGTAGAATTCGACAATCCCCAAAAGTTCTCGACGTTTCACGAAAGCAACAAATTCGACATCAGTTACGTGAACGTCTTGACCAAGGAGCGTATTGAAGTCCACTACAAACACGAAGTCAAAGACAACCCGGTGAACCCGAATCTCAACATCTTCGTAGCCTGCTTCACCACCTGCTGGGCCCGTCTTCGTTTGTACGAAGCACTAGACCTGTTACAGGAGCGCGTGGTGTACTTTGACACCGACAGCGTCGTTTTCCGAGGTCTGCCCAGACAACCCGACCCATCACTTGGAGTTTACCTCGGCGATTTCAAGGATGAGTTGCCTGACGGAGATCACATCACATTACGGGTACCTGACCAGCAGGGGTAGAGAAGAATGCAAGGTCTGCGGGATATCCCTCAACAGCAAGCGAATCAAACAACTCAACTACCAGGTGCTCTGACAGAACGTGCTGGACGACATCCAACAACCCTGGGAGTCAGGAGTACGCCAAACCGATGTGGTGAAATCCTACCACATCATTAGGAATACCAAAGAGTTCGCCCTCGAGACGGTGGATCAGACCAAAAAATACCAAATGGTCTACAACAAGCGTGTGATCGACCTGGCCACATTCCTGACATAAACTTCACGGATACTCACGATGTACTCCGGAAGATGTGCAACTTGTAAATAATATTTTCCCCTCACCTACTCATGTCAACGCACACGCAATGATGCTCAATACTCACTCTTCACCCTCATATCCCCTCCATGTAACACGCACACACTAATCATTTCTCTCAAATCGTTCACGGGCGCTGCGGCCACCAGAACCCAGCACATGTCCCGCATGTGAAATTAGAATTTTTTGAAATACAACTTTGACTTCTTTCCAAAATCAACAAAAGTGTCTCCGTGTGGATTTTTTGTACCTCAAATCAAAACAAATCCATTCAAATGGAAAAGGGCGGCGTTTTTTATTGAATACGTCATTTGATGAGTACCTGTCAAAAACTGTTGGAACAGGCACATATTACTACTACTGAGTAAAGTGTTAACGTTTAAACTAAAAACTCAAAAAAAACAAAAAACAAAAACAAACAAAAAGAAAGAAAGAAACGCAGTGGCTCGCAAAAATAGGCTTGGCACTCCAGCTCGCAGGCTCGCACATTAGTTACACTCTTAGAGAACGCTTTTCATAGCAGAGGAATTTAAAAACTCTGGCTTTGCGTTTTAGTGTGGACGGAAAACATTTGGAAAATGGATCTTTTCGGAAAACGATGACGTCACGATGATCATGTGATTTCCCTGCCCAAGTTTTCCTCAAATTCAAATCCAAAATGACCGGTAATTTTTGCGTTTTCAAATATCTCCGTCGTATTTTGACGGGGTCGAAAGAAGTGTTTGTCTCGGTAATGTTGTGGTATTCACAGGTAATAGCTTCCTAGTATATACCACACAAGTGAATAGTGCTTTTCGCGCGCTCTCATTGGTTAACTCGGAGGTGATTAGCAAGTACTATTCACCTCCGAGCAGCCGGCGCGAGAGATTTTAAAATTTCCGACCGCTTGCCACACATTAAATAACGTTTTGGGCCGCTAATTATTCAGCTTGTGTGATATATACTAAAACAATTGTTCACCTCAGTGTCGGTAATAGTGATGGATATTTACCTCCACTTCGGGGAATAATTGTTAATTATACGTCAGCGCAAAGATAACAATTTAGAATAACACTTACAGTAACGACAAACCTAGCGAATGATGCTAGCTGATTTCAATGTTCGTGAAGGTACTTCCAATCAATTGATGTTCGTTTTCTGCATTTCAGTGCTTTACCAAGTTCATGAAGTGAGGATAATAAAAATATCTTTTTATGAAACTGGAATGGAAGGTTTTCGTGTTCAGTGTTCACCAGCGTACTCACAGTGACGCAGTTCACTGATGATTCTTGTCTGTAATGTGGATTAGTTCAAGCTTGTTTGTGTACATTTCAATGTAATAAAGGCTTTGTGATTGTAGTAATTCTCATCACATTCCTGTGATAAACCTGGCCTTGGTTTTGCTTTTCCAGCTCTCAGTTTGACTCGCACATCCAGCACTTCAACTCAAGTCATTTTTAGTGCAGAGTGCACTATTGGGATGGTTTGGGGGTTGACGTCGCTAAAGTACTGTGGCAATAAGGCACCATTGTACTAAGGCACTATTACACTAAGGCACTATAGGACTAAGGCACTATGGTACTAAGGCACTATGGTACTATGGTACTAAGGCACTAAGGCACTAAGGCACTAAGGCACTAAGGCACTAAGGCACTAAGGCACTAAGGCACCATGGTGCCATGGCACTATGGCACTATTGCGTTATGACAATATGGCAATAAGGTGTAAACTTTAATGTTTGTATAATTAATTAATTTCAATTAATTAATTAGGCTTGCAGCAAGGGGGTAGGATGGGGTAGGTACTTGTGGGCACTACGTAAAATGGGTGGTGCATGTACGTACGTGATTTCTTTGATCACTTCAAAAAGCTGTATATTTGTTGCAGAAAGTCCCTTGCTCTCGTTGTGGTACTTTTCTCTTTAAAACAAAACCAATATTTGCTCATGCGCAGGTTAAAAAGCGTTAGTGTCAACTACATCAAGTTCTCTGGGAGCAACCATTTTGAAATAACCGAATTCTGGTGATTCTGCCTATCCTGTTTCCCTGCACAGTCTGCATCTACGGCGCATGCCTGAAATGATTGCTCCCAGAGCTCTCGTTTTCCGACCGCTGGTCAAGGGGAACGAAGACTCTGGGAACGAGATTGCATATCAGGTGGAAGATACATTTTATACAAGATCACACACGTTGAGCGCTTTTCCTTGTGGTAGAACCTAATAAGTCATACGCATGTGTTCTAGCATCGTTAGCACGATACAAACGTAGGCACGCAAGGGGTGCAAGAGTTATTTTTTTGTGTGAAGTGTCGGAGATAAGAGCATTCATGGAGCTGTTTACAGTATCGATTTGGTTAATTTGACAAGTTTTTTCGGTTGTGATGTACAGCAAGAAACAAAATGGGAATTTATGATGTACATGCGAAGTTACACCGGTCATGGTAAGATAGCTAAATAGTAAGCCATAAAATGTTTGACTGAACAAACTAAAGTAATCTGGCACGTCTCAGATTAATGTAGATATCATCTTATTTTCTAACAGGCAATTTGATTCGTTCTTTGAGAGTCTCTTTTTGTCGAGGGTAATATATATTTTTTCTGGGTTTGTTGTTTTACTCCTTGCTGTAGGCTCGATTTCCGCTGCTCATTCGAGTCCGGTCTACATGTTCTTCCCCGACTTGGTTAAATGTAAATATATCACAGACCTGATTATTTATCTATAACCTTTATAACATTCAAAGTCCGGTTTTCATGTGACTTCATCACGCTGGATGCTTTGGCCGATGTACTAATGCCATCAATTTTTGAATGGCTATCCACGTAGAAATAAATCTAAACATTAAGTTTTGCAGTTGCAATTTCTTCAACAAAAAAATAACACATAGGGATAACAGAATGTGGTTCGCGTTAATATTTGTATTGACAGTGACAATGTTGTGTCAAAGTGCCTCACTCGCTTCGAATTTCACATTTTTAGCTTCAAATTTTTCACTGCAGAAAACAAATGACAACGCCTTCCCTGGCTTCGTTTGTGTACCTTTTTCTCTTTGTCGCTGTAGTCGTTTAGGTCGTGTTACTACCGATGCGATTTCGTAGAGTGTTTGCTTCATTGTTTTCCAGTGTTATTGACGGGCTGCGATGAGAAATATTCCTGTGCCATTTATCAAACAGGAACTTTAGTTGAAATCTGGAGGCGATGGAAGCTTTGGAAGCAAATTTACGGCTATTTTCTTCCTTCGGTAAATTCGCTGTTAAAAAAAAATATCTGTGCGTTTTGCG